TACTGTGAGATTTTGAGCAACAACCTCCTTCCCTCAGTCAGAGCATTGAAGATGGGTCGTGGCCGGGTCTTCCAACATGACAACGACCTGAAGTACACAGCCAGGATAACCAAGGAGTGGCTCCGTAAGAAGCATATCAAGGTTCTGGAGTGGCCTAGCCAGTCTCCAGACCTAAATCCAATAGAACATCTTTGGAAGGAGCTGAAACTCCGTGTTGCTCAGCGACAGCCCCGAAACCTGACAGATCTAGAGGAGATCTGTGTGGAGGAGTGGGCCAAAATCCCTGTTGCAGTGCAAACCTGGTCAAGGACTACAGGAAGCGTTTGACCTCTGTAATTGCAAACAAAGGCTTCTGTACCAAATATTAACACTGATTTTCTCAGGTGTTCAAATACTTATGTTCAGCAGTGCAAGACAAATAAATTCTTTAAAAATCATACAATGTAATTTCCTGAATTTTTCTTTAAATTCTGCCTCTCAGAGTGGGAATGCACCTACAATGTGAATTTCAGACCCCTCCATGATTTCTAAGTTGGAGAACTTTCAAAATCGCAGGGTGTTCAAATACTTCTGTTCCTCACTGTATATATGTATAATTTTTTTTTTAATTATTATTCTTTATTTTTTTATTATTATTATTATTATTTGTTTTTTTATTTCACTTTCATTTATATATAATAGAGGTTCATCTTGATTTTTGGGTATAGTTTTACTTAAATTCTTGCACATGTACACAACTGCCGGAGCCATAGGGAAAGCACAGAAAACCCTCAATGATTATATTCACATCCAGGGCTGTTGTTTTTTTCTGGAATGGCACTGATTACAATAGACAATCCGCTTAGATGTAAATTCTGCTGAGCCAAGAGTTCCACTTAAAAGGAACAAAATATAGAAAAATAATTTGGCGCATTAGTAAAAACACATACTATATTCCACCCCCCCAAGCCCACCCCCCCCTCAGCATTCCAATAACACAGCATCCCGAGACGCACCGGAGGCAAGGACATGTTTTAGTGCCACTCTATGCAGCAGAAAGCTGGAATTTGGGAGTGATAATCTATTATCGCTGGCTGATTACTATGCAACACATTCCCTGCACCAGGCTAACATGATTACAGCAACACCATATTCCCCAGCAAGGGCTCCAACACACAATGTGAAATAACATGAACCCCCGGGGTCGCTATTCGCGCCAAGCAGCGGGTGCGCAGATAGGGGAGCTCAGTGTAGAAAACACCAGTCTGCTCTCCTGACGCAGCCTCACCCACCAGCTGCCTGAAGGTTCTAGTATTCTAGACCCAAGACAACAAACTGGAATTCATTTTATTCCTTCGGAATGACTCATATCTAGACCCGCTTTGGTGAGCAGTTGGCAAATGTTTACTTTGCGAGCGTTGAGAGGGCGGCCATCTTGCCTTCAGGCAAGTCACTGGTTAGGTACGCATGGGGTTGGCTATCACCAGGTCTACCTATTGCAAAATTTCGACATTCGCATAATTTTAAATATCTTGTTCACCTATCATTTTAAAATGCATAACTTATGTGCGTATTTCTGAGTTTAAATGTAACCTGTGACCAGACCTTGGACATTTAACTTCTACTGCAGTCAACTTTAAAACAAGCGTTCACTAACCTCAGTAACTGCAGGCACTGTGGAGCAAGTAATCCTCAGTCTACAACAGAATCACTGAAGACCATTAAGTGGTTCTCTCAGCAGCTCACCTCCCCCTTATCCCCTCTTCCGAGGACTGACATGGCAGCGCAGTTCAAACTGTTAGCCCAATACCAGCTCAACTCTCCCAGCAGCAACTCATCAGCATGGCTCCCTTTGCTCCCTCTCCCAGCAGTGACTTAGCTCCCCTGCTTTCCTTTCCAGCAGTGACTCAGAAGCCCAACTTCCTTTGCTCTCAATCTGTTTCACTAGTAAATGAGCAGCTCCCCCTGCTCTTCCCACCCCCCTCCCCCATCAGTGACTCAGCTTACCCTGCTCCCTTCTCCCAACATTAATTTAGCAGCTCGGCTTTGCCTGCTCTCCTCCTCCAATCGGTGACTCAGCAGCTCAGCTCCCTCTGCTCCCTCCTCCAATTGCAGTGACTCAGCAGCTTGGCTTGGCCTGCTCCCTCCTCCAATCGGTGACTCAGCAGCTCAGCTCACCTCTCCCCCCTCCCAGCAGTGACTCAGGAGCTCTGCTCCCTCCTCCAATTGGTGACTCAGCAGCTCAGCTCCCCTGCTCCCTCCTCCAATTAGTGACTGAACAGCTCATGCTCCCCCCTCCAAGCAGTGACTCAGCAGCTCAGCTCCCTCCTCCAAGCAGTGACTCGCAGCTCAGCTACCTCTGCTCCCTCCTCCAAGCAGTGACTCAGCAGCTCATCCCTCTGTTCCCTCTCCCATCAGTGACTCAGCAGCTCAGCTCCCTCTGCTCCCCCCTCCAAGCAGTGACTCAGCAGCTCGCACCCTCTGCTCCCCCCTCTAAGCAGTGACTCAGCAGCTCAGCTCCCTCCTCCAAGCAGTGACTCAGAAGCTCAGCTCCTTTGCTCTACTCTCCCAGCAGTGACTCAGCCTCAGCTCCCCCCTCCAAGCAGTGACTCAGCAGCTCAGCTCCCCCTCCCAGCAGTGACTCAGCAGCTCAGCTTCCCTCTCCCAGCAGTGACTCCCCAGCTCAGCTCCCTTTGCTCCCCCTCTTTCATCAGTGACTTAGCTCCACTGCTCTCCCCACCCTCTTCCCTCACCAGCAATGACTAAGCAGCCCAGCTTCTCCTGCCCCCCGACCCCCATCTCAGCAGCAGTGACTTAGAAGCCCAGCTCTTCTTGCTCCTCCTCCCAGCAGTGGCACAACCGTTCAGCTTCCCCCTCCCATCAGTGACTCTGCAGCTCCGCTCCTTCTGTCCCCTCTCTCAGCAGTGACTTATTAGCAGTTAAACTCCCCCTGCAGCTGCAGAAGTCGGTGTGGACTTGTTTTTAAGTCTAGGTTCACACCTAAGCATTTTCCAGAAACGCAGTACAGTCCATTTAACATGATTTCCTATGGGACAGGCTCACATCTCCACGTTTTCACCCGGTGCATTTTTTTTGAAAGAGCCAGGGACTATTTTAAACACAAAGCGTTGCGTTTTGGTTTAATATACTTCAAAGCAAACGCTGCAGAAAAGCATATAGTACGTTTTTGATGTGTTTTAATCTGCCCAGCAACAAGTTGGAAAAAAAGAACGCAAAAAAAAAAACACATCAAAAACGCATGAGCAAAAAAAACGCAAAACGCATTGCAAAAAATATTGCAGAAACAGATCAAACACAATCTACATACAATTCCTAAAGGGAATTTACTGCTTTTTAAAAAGCATGTCCTGCTCACAACTGAGCCCCAAATAGGAACACAAATCTGACCGAAGTTCCTGAAGTATGAAAATGAAAAGGGCGAGCCAGGCTGGGGAGAAAAGTCCTAGACGTCCTTTACCCAGGAAATGCTGTGGGCTCCACCTGACTTGCTGCAGCTTCTAATGCACACTGTTAGAAGCTCACAGCATGCAGTGAAATCCAAGGAAGCAATTTCAGCGGAGGAGAGGAGCCGGTACAACCGTGGGAGACTGAAGTGACGGCTGGAGTTGAGCTTTCAGCCTCTTCACCATGGACAGCGCCTGTTTAATGACACGGCAGCTTCCTTCTCTTTTTTTTTTTCCAGTCTAAGTGGCGGCAACTTGTGTTTGGACAGGAATAACCGACTTCAGCTGAGCTAAATAAGTAAACACCTGCAAAGCTCATTTATTTCAGATAGGATTAATTGTTTAATTGCATAAAATAAACAAATGTTTAAAAAGTAATTCAGCCGTAATATATTACATTTATTTAGGCTTAACTGACCTATTAGAGCAATAAACTTCAAATAAAAGGGCTGATAGGTGGAGCAGGAATTGTAATTAGCACGATGTTTCGTTTTTGGCCAACTTAAAGGAAAACGCCACTTTTGTCAAATAAAAAAAAAAAAAAAAAAAAAAAAAGGTAAAAAACATATCAAACAGATGTAGTACAAGAAGCGACGGAGAATTTTTTTTAAACCACATAGTTGGTAATGTGGGAAACGATTCTGAGGAGGTATTAATTGTTGCCTTCTGGTTTCAGACAGCTGCAAGGTTTCTTTGGCCGGTGTCACAAAGACAGGAAGTCAGGGAAAATCTCCCCAAGGAGGTCACAGACAGGAAAACGAAAACTAGCAGAAATGTGGACTCTTACCCAGTTGGTAACAGTCCAAACAGTTGGTTTTTGTTAGGTTTTAGCCTAAATTCACACTACAGCGGTGCGGTGAATCCCATGTGATTCGCACAGGAAGCGCACCACATTCCTGTACAAATCACATGTGATTTGAATTCTCTATTCGCACCGCACCAAAAACGTGCAGGACCCTTTTTTGGTCCGCACTAGAATCGGATCGCATGGGTATTCACACCTATGCGATCCGATTCTGCACATCGCACCGCGTTTTGCGGACCGATGTCGGGGTGTTGTTAACATACACACCTGCATTGGTTCGTATGAATGGGGTGCGATTGTGATCCGCATCAGTGTGAAGCAGGGCTCACAGTACAACTCCAATATTTTTTTAATCTCCATTCCCTGATGTTTAACTGCTTTAGCTCCGCCCCCAGAGCAGAAATACTGCTACAGGCCGCAGCTGTGAGCAAAATCATATTCATAATCGTGATTTTGCATTTCTGAGTAGGTGGTATGCGCCCTACCCGCGCCGTCATTCGCAGCCGTGGCTGTCAATCACCGGGTCCCAGCCAATGATTGCTAAGGATCGCCGAAGGGGGGGAGAACTATTAGTAAACAAAACAGTTCTCCTCCCTGTCAGCTCCTGCGCACTGCTTTGCATGGCTGTGCACAGCACAGCCATACAAATCAGTGTGCTTACAGTGAAGCACACACACAGTACACAGTTATAAACAGCACGCAGCACAGTTAACCCTTTGATCGCCCCACATGTTAACCCCTTCACGCCCAATGCCAATTAGTACAGTGTCAGTGCTTTTTATTAGCACTGATCACTGTTTTGGTGTCACTGGGGATGTCAGTGACACCAAGTCAGTTCCCCCCAGTGTCAGAATGCCCGCTGCAGTCCCACCATAAGTTGCTGATCACTGCCATTACCAGTAAAAAAAAATTATAAAAACATCCCAGTATATACACCGCCATTTGTAAACACTATAACTTTCACGTAAACCAATTAATTTACACGTATTGGGATTTTTTTTTATTAGCACAGACATGTAGCAGAGTACATGTTGGCCTAATTTATGCCGAAATTTGATTTTTTTTACTGGACGTGTTTAATAGCAAAAAGTCAAAAATAATGTTTTTTTCTAAAAATTGTTGGTCTTCATAGCGCAAAAAATAAAAACCGCACAGGCGATCAAATATCACCAAAAGCTCTATTCGTGGGAAAAAAAGGTTAATTTAATTTGGGTGCAGCGTTGCTTGACCTGCGCAATTGTCAGTTAAAGTAATGCAGAGCCATAATGCAAAAAATGGCCTGGTCAGGAAGGGGGGTAAATCTTCTGGAGGGCAAGTGGTTAAAAAGAAGGTCCCAAAACACAAAAAATATTTCGCGTCATGGCGCAGCACTCCTTAAAACTTGGCCCCCTCCAGGGGTTGTCCCAAGGGAAGGGGATGGTTTGCCCAATGGATCATCCCCTTGCTCTACAAAGCATCAGAGCTTACTGTGACATGGCTGGAGGTGCAGGCTTCATTACACCTGAAGACTCTACAAAGCAAAGCCTATGAGCTCCAGGAACCAAATCCAGGATTTACCAATCTCTGGGAAACTGATAATCCAATTTACTCTGTATGACACAAGCATTCCAGAGCCTCTCAAATTGCCCTTGGTGACCAGAAAAAAAAATATTTTCATGCAGTGACAAGGCTGGAGCTCCTCCTACAAGACTCTACAAAGCCTCGGGTTTTAAGGACCCAATCCAGGATTTACCAATCTCTGGGTAAACGGATAATCCAGTCTCCTCTGTATGATACAAACATTCAAGTGCATCTCAATTTGTCTTCGTGACAAAAATAATATTTTTATACAGCAACAAGGCTGGAGCTAGAGGGTTCATCCCTCCCAATACTCTACAAAACCTTGGGTTTCAAGTACCCATTCCAGGATTTACCAATCTCTGGAGAAACTGATAATCCAGTCTCCTCTGTATAATACAAGAATTCAAGAGCCTCTCAACTTGCCTTGGTGACAACCCTGGATGACAAAAAAAACTTTTTTTTTTAATACTGTGGCAAGGCTGGAGGTGGGAGCTTCATCCCACCCAAGACTCTACAAAGCCTCCGAGCTCCAGGACCTATTCCAGGATTTATCAGTCTTTGGGAAACTGAAAATCCAGCTTTCTCCTTTGGACACAAACATCCCAGAGCCTCTCTTCTGTGTGACAACAGCACACTTTTTTTATACCCAAACAAGGCACCATACTGTCACAATACACTTTAAGAACAAATTGGAGTTTTATCTACTTTATATAACCATGGATTGTGATATGATGGGTAATCACAGGGCAGGCAACCACTTTTTGGCGGCACACAATTTCTAAAACGCATCATTTGCATTAAATTTGACATTCGGGTTATGGATTTTTTCCTGTACGGCAGATCACAATAAAGGTATAGCCATTATATTTCCATCCATTTGTTATGCATAGATTTTAATATGGTGTAATTAGTGAAGAATGACAGAGATTTTTACTGTGTTTTTAAGTTGCTCGGAGATGGCACAGACAATTGTTATTATAAATGCAGGAAAATTATAGCTTACGGCTGGGGGCGGAGGGAGGATGCAGAATGGGAAGAATAAAAAAAAAATGATAAAAAATAAAAAAAAATTGAGTAAATAAAAAAGGTAGGAAGCAGCAGTTACTGAGGAAACCAGAAATAGGGAAGAATTTAAACTTTAACATTCAGAGCTGTTCAGATGCACTTCAAAGCAACTAATAAAATAAAAATGGATGGCCTATCGGGAATGGATAAAAAAAAAAAAAAGGAAAAAGTTTCAGAAAATGCAAAAGCCTAGGGCGTTTTGCAGCAACTTCCTATTTAAAGTGGCATTGCCAATATATTGCTATCCACATATAAAGCATAATAATCATTAACTGCAAATATATCTAGAAGCAGGGGTGGACTGACCATTTCGAAACTCGGGCACTGCCTGAGGGCCGGGGGTCAGTAGGGGGCTCCATGAGATGCCCCTGGTATCTTTTTCATAGGCTTTTTTTGAATTTGGGCAAGGACATAGGGGCCCATGATCCCCTATTGCCCGAGGGCCCCATGAGTTGTCAGTTCGCCCCTGTCTAAAAGTGATTATACTTAAATATTTATATATTTTATACTTATCATATGTATTTTATATAGCGCCAATAGTTTGCGCAGCACTTCACAAACTAAGGCTGCTTTCACAGTGATGCATTTGTGCTACGTTTTTACCTTCCTAAAACACAATAATAATAATAATAATATTAATAAGGCTCCAGGCACACTAGCGGGTTTTTTTAACTTAAAAAAAAAGCTGGCAAAAAAAAAACTGGATCAAAAACACTTGTAATAGAGGAATTAAGTAGCATTTAGGAGCATTAGGCTACGTTCATACTAGCGTTGTGTGCAGGCAGCAGAGAGGCATTTGGGAAGTGTTTTTACCACTTCCCAAACGCCTCGGACAATTCTGCACACCGCAGCACATGGTGCTGTTCTAACGGGAGCGTTAGTGTCGTGTCAAAACAGACGCCTCTGGTCGAGTCAGGAGGCGTTGAAGCCTCCTATTCTAGTCTATAGTGCCACTGCGCGAACGCGCAGCCGGCGTTTGCGGTGCAGTTTTGATGCGTTTGCGGAGCTGTAACACCATTTAAACTTCATTATAGGCGTTTGTGGGGCGTTTTTAATGCTCGGCAAACGCCTAGCAACCGCCACTAAACTGCACATGCGGCGTGTGTGGAGCGTTTGCCGAGCGTTAAAAAATGCTCCACAAACGTCGGACCAACGCTTGCCAAACGCTATAGGGGCGTTTGGCAAGCGTTGGTAAAACAGTCAAGTGTGAATGAGCCCTTAGTGTTTTATTAGCGTTTTGGAGAACATGAAGAGGAAAAAAAAAAAAAGCTAGAAAAAAGCTGTTAAGAGCGTTTTGGAGCATTAAGTGTTTTGTTCTGCTGAAAAAAAAAACGCTCCAAAAAACTATTTTTTTTTCTGCTCTTATGCAGGCCATACATGGTTCGAAATCCGAACAATGTGTCGTCCTGAAAAACGCCGTTTGCTCGGTAATCCCATGGTGCCATCAATGATTTAGAAAATCGGCCAACCAAAGCATAAAATTCACCTCGTATAACAGGCAAAACTTCTGTTCCTTCCAGGTCACGGCTCATGCGCATATTCTTTTCGGAAAAACGATCATATGATTTGACCATCATTGAGTCAAAAATCGGTAGTTTTTCATGATTTTTCCAACATGCCCGATCACTGAAATGGGGAGGAACCACAAAAATCGGCCAGTGCTATTGACCCACTAACAGAGCAAAAATCGGCCAATTATTGTTAGGTCCGATTTTCTGACGAAAAATCAGTCGAATTCTGACCCATGTATGGCCGGCCTTAAATGCTGAAGCTCAAAAAATGCTAATCACCTAAAGTAGTGTGCACGGAATAACACGATTTAGCGTCTAGAAGCAGAAAAAAACTAAATCTTGATAACAGCTTCTAGGAGGTTAAAAAAAAAATCCCCACTAGTGTGCATGGAGCTTAAACCCTATGGGGTTTATTTACTAAAGCTGGAGAGTCCAAAATCAGACTCCCTTCATCATAGAAACCAATCAGCTTCCAGGTTTCATTGCCAAAGCATCATTGAACAAGCTGAGGTTAGAAGCTGATTGGTTTCTATGCAGAAGGGAGTCTGATTTTGGACTCTCCACTTTAGTAAATAAACCCCTTGCTGCCTCTTCAAAATACATGTCACTTGCAGTTTTGGGAAAAGTCCAGCATGCTTTCCATCTTTGGTGTGGCTTTAAAAACTGCATCAACCCATTCAAATTAATAGAAATACGCATCAAAATGCATTTTTGGTGTGTTTTTTGAGTCACATATTTCTCAGGTGCATGCTGAGAGTCAGGCACCAAAAAAAAACCACCAAAAAAGCATCAAAAACATGGCAAAACGCATTTCTGCTACAGAGCAGTGTGAAAGTAACAGTACAGCTTCAATATGGTTCATGACCAGAGAGAGATCGGCTAGGCTTAGATGTGTCTAAACACAGTGCTTCTCTGAAAAGCAATCCACATTCACACTTGGATCGCTTTTCAGAAGCAATTGGCAGGAGGTGGTGAGGAGGTGATGTGATGCCCCTTGGTGCCTGTTTTAACCCTACGTTTGCAGAACAAATGTATCACAACCATGTGCATTGCGTTTGTGCTACTACCCCATTCGCTTAAATGGGCCACATTCTGCAGGCTTGCAGCCCACTGATTGTGGTGTGTTGGATAGTTTTTGCTATGGGTGTGAATGCATGGAAACACCCCATTGCAGCTTGGTGGAAGTTGGGGGGCTCTAAAAACATGGGACAACCATGTGTTTTTAATGCATTCCAACCACCAATCTAAATGAGGCCTTAGAGGACCCTTCTCGTGAGTGCTTACAGTCGTAACCTATTTGTCTCTACAGCCAAAGCCTCTGACTTGGTCGCTTGGTCATGCCGCTTCCCTGAACTTCCAGTCAAGGAGTATGAGCTAAGCACTTGAAAAAAAGTCACATGATTGCACTCAGGAGGCACCGTCAATCTCTTGGAGGACGTGTAGGGGCTTGACCTCCTGGATGAAGCTCCTGGACTGCTCATGAGCGTTGGAGCAGACAGCATGTGCATACCGGGCTGTGGTTCCCCAGATTTGTATAGATGGGACTCCATGGGACCCTGCAAGGCAGCATATCTACCAAGGAAAACATGGAACGGCTGAATTTCAAATGGAAACAAAGTCTTATGGCTGGCTTTAAAGCTGAACTCTGGCGACAAATGTTTTAATTCATGTCCTTGATTGTCACTAAGGCTAGAACACTCCATGCACACTAGTGTTTTTTTAAAAGCTCAAAAGAATGCTAGAAAAAAAAATGCTGGACGAAGAACGCTGATAATTGAGTTTTTGTGCCAGCTTGTAGTAGCATTTAGTAGAGTTTAGAAGTGTTAGTGTTTTAATAGCATTTTTACAGTACATGTAGGGGGGGGGGGGGGATAAAAGCTAACAGAGCATTTTGCATTTTTTTTTCAGCCAGAAAAACACTCCAAAAACATTTTTTTTTCTGCTTCTAAATACCGAAGCTTGAAAAATGCTACTAGCCTTAAATACTGTGCACTGACACATAGGGAAACACTAGTTTCTAGCAGCAGAAAAATAAATGCTAATAACAGCTTCTAGGAGCTCATAAAATGCTAGTGTGCATGCAGCCTTAAAGTATAACTAAAAGCAAAAAAGTTTTTATCGGGTTTTGGATGGAGTGGAGAGGGATTAGAACCCTTGTCAGTTTTTATTGCTGTCTGCGTCTCTGTTAACCCTTGCCCTCCTGAGGATTTACCGCCTTTCCTGACCAGGCCATCTTTGCGTTATGGCGCTGTGTTACTTTAACTGACAATTGCGCAGTCATGCAATGCTGCACCTCAAATTAAATTTACGGACTTTTTTTCCCCACAAATAGAGCTTTCTTTCGGTGGTATTTGATCGTCTGTTTTTATTTTTTTACTATAAACAAAAAAAGTGAGAAAAAAAAAACAATATTTTTGACTTTTTGCTATTAAACATGTCCAGTAAAATATTTAAAAATCAAATTTCACCATAAATTTAGGCCAAAATGTATTCTGCTTCATGTCTTTGCGAAAAACAAATCCCAATATGTGTAAATTAATTGGTTTACATGAAAGTTATAACGTCTACAAATGGCGGTATATATACCGGAATTTTTTCTTTTTTACTAGTAATGTCGGTGATCAGCCAAATTATAGACATTCTGACACTGGGGGGGACTGACTACCTGCCACTGACATCCCCACAGCTGTGTGCTCTTTCACTGTGTGTGGTGGGAGTGCTTTACACTGTAAGCACACGGATTTGTATGGCTCTGCTATGCAGGGCCATACAAAGCAGTGTGCAGTAGCTGACAGTGGAGAGATGTGTTGTTTATTCACAGGTCTCTCACCTGTCTGAGATACTTGGCGATCACTGGGTGCCAGCAAGAAATCACTGGCTGGGACTCAATGATTGATGGCCGAGGCCATGAATGGCAGCGTGGGCAGGGCATGCACACGCCCCCTAATCGGAGATGAAAAAATCACATATATACACACGTGATTTTCTGCACCCGTGCCGCCCTGCAGCAGTATTTCTGCTATAGGGTGGCACGGAAGCGGTTAAGGAGAGTCAACCTTTCTGTCATGTTTATCATTATCAGTGAAAGTAAATGAAAATCCCAAAATTTTGGGTTGTCCCCAGAAAGATAATAGAGGGGAAATATTCCAATGGGGACAGTAGTTCTGGTGACCTGGGGGTCCCCAAGGAATTCCCCTTAATTTGCAGGGATTTCCTTCCACTTCCCTTTTGATTATGGGACAGACATGAAGGGCAATCTCTACAATGGGACACAGATGGTGAAAAAAAGTCTGACAGGGGTTATAACCCTCCCTTGCTCCACATGAACCTTGCTTTGTGCACTGGTGCGCAGTCATGTTGGAACAGGAAGGGGCCATCCCCAAACTCTTCCCACAATGTTGGGAGCATGAAATTGTCCAAAATGTCTTGGTATGCTGACACCTTAAGAGTTCCCTTCACTAGAACTAAGGGGGGCCAAGCCCAACCCCTGAGAAACAACCCCACACCATAATCCCCCCTCCACCAAACGTTACACATGGCACAATGCAGTCAGGCAAGTACAGTCCTGGCAACCTCCAAACCCAGACACGTCCATCAGATTGCCAGACAGAGAAGCGTGATTGGTCACTCCAGAGAACACGCCTCCACTGCTCTAGAGTACAGTGGCGGCATGCTTTACACCACTGCATCTGACGCTTTGCATTGCACTTGGTGGTTAAGGCTTGGATGCAGTTGCTTGGCCATGGAAATCCATTCCATGAAGCTCTATAAGCACTGTTGTGCTAATCTGAAGGCAACATGAAGTTTGGAGGTCTTTAGCTATTGACTCTGCAGACAATTGGTGACTTCTGTGCACTTCAGCATGCGCTGACCCCTCTCTGTCATTTTATGTGGCCTACCACTTAGTGGTATTATAACAAAGTGGAAGCAACTGGAAACAACAGCTCAGACACCAACAGTTGAGCGTGGAATACTTAGTAGCAAGGAAAAGTCACGGATGGACTTATTGCACAGGTGACAACCTATCACTCACCACGCTTGAATTCGCTCAGCTCCTGAGAGCGACCCATTCTTTCACATATGTCTGTAGAAGCAGTCTGCATGCCTAGGTGCTTGATTTTATACACCTGTGGCCATGGCGGTGATTGGAACACCTGAATCACATGATTTGGAGAGGAGTCCCAATTCTTTTGGCAATATAGTGTATTTTTCTATGTCACCTGCATGCAGGCCAAGTAATATGCATGTACAACAAACATGTCAAGGTATTTATTACCTCTCTCCCTAACAATGCCTTCGTCTGCTTTTCTCTGCAGAACAGCACCATACATGTTCAGGCATCAGCTTCCTGGATTGGGATGCTGATGATAAAAATGTAAAATTACATCCAAAAAATATAAATTGCTTCCTCACAAATATGGCATCTGGTGTTCGGTTTCTGTCCCCAGGATTGACTTCCCATGTGATGTCATTGGTTTGCTGCTATTCCCCAAAAATCTGTAAAGAGCTTAAAGTCAAGTCACAGCTATCCACTGCAGTAGGACAGTTTCATTATTGAATCTTTCAAAGAACCCCAGGATTTTTGTTTTCCTTTTTAATGTTAATTTTATTTCTGCTTCATCTAAAAGCAAAATGAACAATAAGACAAATTAGAGGCACTGTTGTGAAGTACAGCCCTAGGAGTTTTCTTATTACAACACTAAGGCTTCTAAGATGGTAATAATGAAGACAGACCCTCCTGCTTAGCACTCAGTTTGAGAAAGTGCATGGCAAGGCTTACATCATTACATTCACAATACAATTAGCTAATAATTTGCAATTAAAAAGTAGTGCTGCAGAAAAATAAATCTAGTTTTGGATAGATTGGGGAAGGGTTCAAAAAGCTATCAAGTTGCCATTGTGTGGATTTCCTATCTCTCTCCACATTGAGAATACAGTAGTTCCTGCCTCTGTACCCATTGAATGAATTTGCTGCATCTGTCCACATTGGGTGAATTTGCTGCCTCTCCCCATTGAGTATACTGTACTTCCAGCATCTGTCCCCTTTGGGTGAATTTCTTGCCTTTGTTCCCATTGGGTGTATTTCCTGCCTCTCTCCACATTGAGAATATAGTATTTCCTGCCACTGTCTCCATTGGGTATACAGTATTTTCTGCCTCTGTCCCCATGGGGTGAATTTGCTGCCTCTGTCCCCATGGCGTGAATTTGCTGCCTCTGTCCCCATTGGGTGAATTTCCCGCCTCTGACCCCATTGGGTGAATTTCCCGCCTCTGTCCCCATTGGGTGAATTTCCCGCCTCTGTCCCCATTGGGTGAATTTTCCGCCTCTGTCCCCATTGGGTGAATTTCCCGCCTCTGTCCCCATTGGGTGAATTTCCCGCCTCTGTCCCCATTGGGTGAATTTCCCGCCTCTGTCCCCATTGGGTGAATTTCCAGCCTCTGTCCCCATTGGGTGAATTTCCAGCCTCTGTCCCCATTGGGTGAATTTGCTGCCTCTGTCCCCATTGGGTGAATTTGCTGCCTCTGTCCCCATTGGGTGAATTTGCTGCCTCTGTCCCCATTGGGTGAATTTCCTGCCTCTGTCCCCATTGGGTGAATCACCTGCCTCTCTCCACATTAAGAATACAGCATTTTCTGCCTCTGTCCCCATCCAATATATTTCCTTCCTCTGTCCCCATTGGGTGAATTTGCTGCCTCTGTCCCCATTGGGTGAATTTCCTGCCTCTGTCCCCATTGGGTGAATCTCCTGCCTCTCTCCACATTAAGAATACAGCATTTTCTGCCTCTGTCCCCATCCAATATATTTCCTTCCTCTGTCCCCATTGGGTGACAGAGTGAGAGCAATATTTGTAGACCCATTAAATGTTACTAACTCTAAACGGATGACCTGTAGGGGCTTTTAAAGCATCATCTATGGAAAAATATAAGGTACCAAAGTTTGTCGCCGTTTCACAACACCACACAATTTTAAGGTTTGACATGTTATGTATCTACTCAGCACAACTTCATCTTTCATAATTTACAAAAAAAAAATGGGTAATATATTGGGGTGGATTTACTAGAACAGGAGAATGCAAAACCTGGTGCAGCTCTACATAGAAGCCAATCGGCTTCCAGTTTTTTTTTTTTTTGTCAAAACTTTATTGAACAAGCTGAAGTTTTAAGTGGATTGTGCAAAAGATTTTGCACTCTTCAGTTTTGGTAAATGAACCCCATTGTTTTTTTGTTCTCTAAACATTACTTTCAGAAAACATTAACATATATATATTATAATATATATATAAAATATTTTACACACAAAAATTGCTCTGGCAGTAAAAGTGTTAAAATTTCCTGTTAAAAAAATATACTGTCAAGTATCCTTGGTGGATGTTGACCCAGGACGCCGGCGCTACAAGGCAGCAATAAAAAGGTAGGAGCGAGATAATTAAACATAACGGAGGAAATGAGCGCACGGCTAACGACTTTATGTTAGGCAAACCTGTGCATCCAAAATTATAACCTTCCTAATTAGAATCGGAGTTGTTATTCAGAACAGCACTATTTAATCGGCACGTGCGACAAACGTAAATCCTGAATTGGAATGCAAATCGGCATGAAAAAGACGTAAAGTGGCATGCGAGTAAAAAAAGAAAATAAAAAAAATGATACAAAAATAAAATGCTACAGATAGGATCTAATTAAGTGGAGTAGGAGGAAGACATTTTCACAGTTCTACACAGTATCCTTCCAGTGGCAACAGCAATAAAACCCATGAAGGATGAAGAGGCCCCCAGGGGACTCTAGGAGAAAAGAAAAAGAATCTGGAGATGGAGAGGAATCGCAAGGCGGAGAGCTCTTCAGATGTTACGTGACAGGAAAACTCACATCGGCTGGGTAGACTTTGTTATCCTTATGTTGGTGACTCCAAACTTTTCCTTTCCGCACCAGCTGCCATGTTGGCCCGGACAAGACGGGCCTGCTCTTCAAAGAACGGCACACACAAAAAGGTGGCCCCTTCGGTTTTGAGCATCGATTCTGCTGAAGATACAATTTGTATTCTGAAGCAGCATGCTGTGAATGTTAGAATGCATGCGGGACCAGTCACAGGGGACCCAGGTTCATCAAGATGCTTCAGAAGTGCTAAATAGGGTTTAAACTGTATCTTAACCCAAAAACAAAAATGGAATATATTGACACACACCATATGTCACAGTTAGGGGTCAGGCTCGGAGACCAGTAGATATTGCAGTAGAGAGGCTTCAACCAATCAACAGGATAGGTATATAAGCAGATCACACTGCAGTGTGATGCAGGCTCACTCAAAGTACAGGGTCTAAGCACTAACCTTTATTCAATAGAGCTCCTGATGGTGGAGATGGGTTTTGCTGCATGTTAGTACCAGGTCCTCAGGATTGCCCAATCAGCAGGAGAGTAAGCCAGAGTCCATTAGAAGATATATCGGGTAAGGATCAAGCAGAAATATAGTCAATGAATAAGCCAAAAGGTTGACAACAAGTGGTTTCAGGTTAGGATCAACCAGAAACATAGTTGAGGAAAAAGCCAAATGTCGATAACTAGTGATTGCAGGTAGGGATCAACCAGAAGCATAGTCGAGGAACAAGCCAAAAGGTCAGTAACAAGTGGTTTCAGGTAGGGATGAATGAGAAGCATAGTTGAGGATCAAGCCAAAGACTGATAGAAACTGGTTACAGGTAGGGATCTACAAGAAACATAGTTGAGGAACGAGCCAAAGGTCAGTAAAAAGTAATTGCAGGTTGGGATCAAGTGGAAGTGTAGTTGAGAAACAAGCCAAAAAGGTCAATAACAAGTGGTTATAGGTTGGGATCAACCAGAAGCATAGTCGAGGAACAAGCCAAAGTTCAGTACAAGTGGTTGTAGGTTGGGATCAACCAGAAGCATAGTCGAGGAACAAGCCAAAGATCAGTACAAGTGGTTATAGGTTGGGATCAACCAGAAGCATAGTCGTGGAACAAGTCAAAGGTCAATAACAAGTGGTTGTAGGTTGGAAGCAACCAGAAGCATAGTTGAGGAACAAGCCAAAAGGTCAGTAACAAATGGTTGTAGGTTGGGATCAACCAGAAGCATAGTCGAGAAAAAAGCCAAAGGTCAGTAACAAGTGGTTGTAGGTTGGGATCAACCAGAAGCATAGTCGTGGAACAAGTCAAAGGTCAATAACAAGTGGTTATAGGTTGGGATCAACCAGAAGCATAGTCGACGAACAAGCCAAAAGGTCAGTAACAAATGGTTGTAGGTTGGGATCAACCAGAAGCATAGTCGAGAAGAGAAAAAAGCCAAAGGTGAGTAACAAGTGGTTGTAGGTTGGGATCAACCAGAGGCATAGTTGAGGAACAAGCCAAATGTCGATAACTAGTGACTGCAGGTAGGGATCAACCAGGAACAAGCCAAAGGTCAGTAACAAGTGGTAGGGAAGATGCAGACAGCAGCAGAAGTGAGAAGAGCAAAATACCAGCTGGAGAAAAGCACAATAATCTGGTAAACAGGAAGTGCAAAGGCATGGCTTAAATAGGACGTTCATGGGAGAAGAAAAGGGTTCAAGGTTCACCAGAAACAAGACACGGGGCAAGGTTTAAAGAAATCAGGAAGGAAGCTGTCCAGCATCTTAGGTGACTCAACAAGAAGAGATACTGCTTCCATACAGAACAAGTGCTCCTTCTCTACAGCAAGCTGACAACGGACATGCTTTTCTGCTTAGGCTGTGGCCATTTCTTTTTATCTTTAAAGTAATATTAACTTTAATATTTTGTGCGCCTTTTGTTTTGATGCGGCAGAATGTGTTTAGCTGGTTTAAAATGAAAGTTCAATTGAGTTTTAAGACTTATGAGAATTTAGTGATTGGTTTTCCATATACTTTAACAAATCTTCTGAAAAAATCAATTCACGTATGAGCATCCTTCAACCGTTCAAACAGACTTGGCCCATTTGGTATTCATGTCGGAATATCTGAGTGTAGAGTACATAGAGCTAATCAGCACATTAGACTGCAGACTGAACCTGACCATTCAGCTGAACAAGGAGAGGGACATGCAAAGCCAAGCCGAGTGTGGAAATGTCTGGCGGCGGCATCCGTTCACACAGATAGAGAGCAA